AGGGCCGCGACCCCGAGGGGCGAGCGCTCGCGTCCTCACTCGCCGACCCCCGGCTAGCGTGGAGAGGCCCTCGGGGCTGTTCCGCTCTCATTCATTCAGTGCGCGTTGCGGCGCTTCCCGGGGTCGCCTCAAAGGCGCCGGGGGCTCCCTGAAGTGCGGAGCGGTCAGTCACACGGTAGGAGGGCTAGGAGGCAGCTGCGGTGCCAAGGGTGGCTTGGGAGGCTGCCCCTAACTGCGGTCACTCCCTCCAACCCCCAGACCACGTAGAAACAGAAGTAAAACCAGCCGGCTTCTTAGATGCATCTTCAAAACACCCTTCAAGTTAATCCTCGCCCCAAACGTTTGCCTCTTATAAAAAAATAAAAACAACCACCAAAAAACTGGAACCCACACTGATTTCAGACTGTAGAAGATAGAGAATAATCTTAATTCTATTTTTGTGTGTGTGTGAGCACATTTTTTGGAGAAATTAGCTTCTCTCCCGCACCCCCCGACCCCTTAGCGCAAGCTCCAAGGTCCTCGACTAATGACTGACTGGGCAAAGGCAGAAGAAAGATGTTCACTGAGAGCAAGGGGAGACCTGGAATGGGACTGTACACTTGATTTCTGTGTCTCCCGCTGGCATCTTGTAAGAACGCTGGAACTGGCCTTGCAGGTACGGGGCTGGACAGTAAGTGTTTAGGTAAGATCGTAAATACCTGATTATGACAACTGTCTTCAAAACACCCGTCCAGTGCCTCGGGAAACCTACCCACCTGGGGGAGACGTAAAACCGGGCCTGGATTCCCTATTCCCTGGCTCCGGGCTCCAGGGCCCCGCCCCTCAAGCTTGCGCAAACTCAGTTGCTGCCTCTCTAGGTCCCTTCCTCCTCCCACCTCCTGCAGCTGTCAAAATCCGGAATCATGACTTCCTTGAGGCCCGGGCCGCAGCTCTGCGCATGCTCGGCATCCTCTAGGGTGGATGATACGCACGTGCTCACGGACCGCCGCGGCGCCTGCGCCGTAGCTGCCCGGAGTCGGTGCCTTTAGGACGCCTTTCGCACCTTGACTCCGTCTGTCCGTCCTAGCCCGCCTGGGTCCGTTTCCCGTGCACACGCCTTGCAAGCGCCGGCGCCATGACTCTGACTTCCAACGTACGAGGTGAAGTGGGGCCTGGGAGCGGGTGAGGCTGGCGGCCTGCGCACCGGCTGCAGCTCCGTCAGCGCCTTTCCCGGCTGTTACCGCTGCTCTGCGCGTCCGCCGGGCTTGTAACCTTGAGATGCACAAGGGCAAGCTCCTGGCGGGGGTGCTGGCTCCCTGGGCCGAACGGTGAAAGCGGTGTGGATTGGTGGTGTCCCCGGGCAGGACTGGCGTGGGGACCGTGCCGGCGTCTCCCCGGGTCTGGATCAGGTTTCCGCTAACTAGCCAAACCCTAAAACCTAAAGATCCGGCCGCTAGCTCTCCCTGTGCTCCCTGGAGACCCGTCTGTGTTCTCAAGTCGTAGCGTTTGGAGAGAAGGAAAGGAAAAACGAAAAATCCTGTTCCCCCTTCTCACGTTTAAATCACCGTGGAGTCAGAACGCGTATTGCCCCAACCCTGAAGGGGATGCATGACTAATCACATCTCAGTTTTTGCACATTTTTTTAAGGGAAGAAACCCAATCCGCGGTCTTAAGTTTTCCCAGTTTTTCGTTATGCCTCTGGCATCTGGCGCTGCTTGGCAGTGGTCCAGGAGGGACGACTGAAAACCGAGCCTTGCTGCCCTTGTGCTAGTACCTAAGCGTTTGGAAGTGTCCCCTCACAGAAGGTCCAATTTAAATGAAGAGACTTTCTAGAAGTCAGTTAATGTGAACTTCATTTCATAACCATTATTGGTGGTGGTATAGTTATTAATACTGTGCACCAGCTACGTGGTACATGTGATCTCTCTGCCCGGTGTAAAACGCCACTCCTCAAGGTCTGGTTACCTGTTAAGAGTAAAGGTAAAGAGATTGTCCAGAAGTTAATTAAATATAGCCCCATTGATTTATTTAGTAAATATTGAACACCTAGAGGGCTAGAATCTCTAAAAGGTTCCTACTGATTTGAGCCCTAATTTTGTAATAGACTCTATACATTGGAGAATTTCACTTCCGTTGTCAAAAGTTACTGGTAGAGTGAGGGTGACAACCCATTCTTTAAGTTACTGATGAGGCATATAGGAGGTGATTATTTGCAAAACTTACTTCACAGGATACTCATCTCAAGTGTCAAATAGAGGCACCTTAGTGCACTTAAAGTAGGGAATGATTTTTGTTTTTGTTTGTGTTTTTTAAAAAACCAAACCTGTATTTTTTCGAGAATAAGATTATCGTGTAAAATAAGATATTCATGTGACTTGAGCCACTGGTAGTTTTTTAAGAAGACAGTTTGCACTTGCCTGGTATGGATGGAAAGATTCAAAAATGTGTCTTTAAAATGTGGAGTCATTTTGTGTAAACGGGCACTAAACTCTAAGTAGCACACTACTGAAATTTGAAATAGGTGAACCCTAGGGCTTCTTAATACTACCTGCAGCCTAATCTTACTTGCAATCAAGACAGATTTGTTTTTTGTATATTTTTTTCATCTAACCATAGGGGAACCTAAAGGTGACTTTCCCATTAGTTTGCAATTCCCTAAGGGATAAGAAATTGCTTGGTGAAGAAGGTTAACTTAAACTTGAAGTACTCAATTTTATTATGAGAAGTAGCTACTTTTTTATTTCACCTAGATGCAAAAAAGTTGTGAGTACTATGACAAAAGGCCCAAAGCCTTTGTAAATCTTTTCTACCAGCACCTTCTTTCTCAAATACAGTTGGGCAAGGTAGGGACAAGAGAATGTCTTGGGAATCCACCTTTTAATGATTAGAGTTCAAATTGTTCTCTCAATTTTTAAACCAAACCTATTAGTTTTTACAGATTGAAAATCATTTTAGATCCTTTGATTTGGGGGAAGATGACCATGTCTCCTCTTAGTTAAATAAGTTAATAAATTATAAAGGGCTTAGAATAGTATTTGACAATAGTAACCACTATATATGTTAGATAAAAAAAATAAAAGGGTATGTGTGTGTGCATACAAAATTCTTGTTTATATTCAGAAGAAAAATAATGGGTGGGTTATAAATTTAATAGGGATCAGGCCAGGACATTAATCTGGGAGAAGTAATGAGGATGAGTGATTAGAATTGATAACCAAAGATCTATGACACCAAAATTTTTTTTCTTATTGAGATGTAATTGGCATACTTATACCAAACTCATTTTTAACTTGATACCAAATATTTTATTGTAGTTTATTATAGTTTCTAACCTTAAGTGGCTTTTACTACTACGGAGTCACTAATGACTCCTCCTCATACCTGATAGAAGACCTTTAGGAAGTTTACTAAACATTTTGCTCCTTGATACCTCCAAAAGTCATTGAATCTGCTTTCATCCTTAATTCCTTCCCTTTTATTTGCATGGATGGATTGAGGTCATTCTCCAAGTCTTCCAGATGTCATTTTCTCCTGCTTCCTTAAACTCTTGCCTCACTAATAATACCTATTGCTCCTCTCACTCACAGAGGTTTTCTTCTCTTCAGCCCAAAGTAACTCATAATTCACCCTCATCTTTAAAAAAAAAAAAGCCAATTTAACCAAATATTTTAAAAGGCCTTCCTTAATCTGCTACCCCCTCAAGTCACTTTTTTTTTCATATTTTGCTTTATCCTCAGGTTACAAAATAGGTGTTCATCTGTCTATCTTGCACTTTATCATTCATCCCAAACCTTGAACACTACAATGATGTGACCAAAACTAAGTTTCATAAATTCTTATTCTCTGTTATGTCCTTGTCTGTTTTATTAAAACTAATCCATTTGGGTTCAGTAAATTCATTGAGTCATTTAAAGTAATTATTGAAGGGTTTGGTTTTTTTGAAAAAGAATGTGCAGATCTGACAATAAAGAAGAAGCTCCTATGGGTTATAAACAAACAACAAGGGAGGGGGTGGATATAGAGCAAACAAGGCTGTTGGTGAGTTGATACTTCTTGGAGCTGAGTAAATGAGAGTTCATTAGAGTATTCCCTGTGTATGTCTAAAACATTTCATAATAAATGTTTTTATTTTTAATCTCAGGAAAAATTTAAATTTCACACTTTGGTACAATAGGTTAAGATGAGGCCAAAGATAATTCATTTGGTGTAAGAGCAATGTGATGGTGTAATGGGCAGATGGAGCTGTAAATTCAAATTAGAAATCTATTATTTCTTTTTACACAATTTATATTGAACACCACCTATATGCCATACCTTGAGAGAAAACATTACCAGGCACAGCCTGCCAATCCGGGGGAAACCTAAGGGACGGAAAGATTTAAACACAGCTCCCTTCTCCCTCTCCTGAGATGAAAAGTACATTCTGATTCTGTGGCAGTTGACACTGGACTGGAGAGGACAGTTTAGGGCAGAAAAGGAGCTAAAGGAAAAGAAATTGGGTGAGATTTCTGTGTAAATTGAAGCAAAAGAATCCCCACACTAGAGTTATAAACAAAGGTGTAGTATTTGGGAACAAGTTCATATTTTTTCTAACTGAATAATTCTAATAGAGAAAACAGAGATTATACAATGGTAGGCCAAGGGAAGAGTAAGGATGGGAGGGATTATTTAGGAATGTGATTTCTGTATTCTGTTGTTTATACTGGCTTACTCATAGTACTGGTGTAGATAGAAAGCATTGCTAAGAAAGGTTGCATAAGCTGGGGTTTGATCTAACTGTAGGAATACTATACCTTGAAAGATGTCTATAGAAAATGGAAGTGAGTATAAACCAGAAGAGACAGAAATAATGCTCAGGTTTTTTCTGGACTCCAGAAATGTCAAAAAGTTGTTAACTGAAATATCTTTTAAAATTAGGTTTTAGCCCTGGCCAAGTAGCTCAGTTGGTTAGAGTGCCCTCCCGATATGCCAAGGTTGTGGCTTCGATCCCCAGTCAGGACACCTACAAGAATCAACCAATGAATGCATAAAAAAGTGGAACAACGTTTCACTCTTTCTCCCTTCCTCTCTCTCCCTCCCCAAAATCAATAAGTAAATAAGTAAATATTTTTTTAAATGGGCCTTGATAAAGCCCCTTGTTGCCTCTGAGATTGTGTCTGTTCTTAATAGGCATATATACTACCAAGGACTAATTGTACTGGATTTTTAATTCTTTTTCTTTTCTAATTGTTGACTTTTGAATTCACCATCATTCTCATCTATCTTCATATAGTTTCATTTTCCTTCTTTTCCCTAGTTGTCAGTGGCATCCACAGCTTTTTGCCAGAAAAGACTGGTTCAGGCTGCAGTAATGAAATGATGAACAGCATTTTTCTTGTTCTGGGAAATTTTGCATTTGTCTCTAATGAGATTAGAGAATTAGAATTCGAGGAGAGGGAAAAGAAGTGTAAATTCTTAAGACTATCTTTAGCTCTATAATTCTGAAAAACTCACTGCACCAAATACAAAGCCATTTTCCTAGCACCCTTGTGTGTGTGTGTGTGTGTGTGTGTGTGTGTGTGTGAAGTAGGATCACAGAGTGCCTGTTTTGACTCCCCATGAGGCAGCCACTCTTGGGTGATATCTAGAGTCAGTTCCCATTCCTTTCATTTGCTGTTGCCTCTTTTCTGTGTCAGTTATTCTGTCATTTCTCCCTTCATCAAAAAATCCAGAGGAGGTAAATGTTTAAATAAATAAATAAGGTTACCATATGGATTCTGTTGGTAATATAGAGAATAGAAGAATGTATTAATGGATAAAAAAAGATTCTTTTGGCCTATTACAAGTTTCAGGTAGAAATTCCTATTGGATTCTCTCTTATATCATGAAACATGTTAATACTAGCCAATTGGAGTTGTTCTTTGGGTCTCAGGCTTTTTTGTAATAGGTAGGCACCATTAAAGTAAATCTGTTAGAGATTGCTTCATAATTCACCTAAAAATAAGGTGCCACTAAGATCAACAGCATTTAAGGAATTGTGTTATTTTAGTCTTTCATGATATTCTCCCTTTTAAATTTCTTCTAAAGATAATATTCAACAAACGTAATTGAACATATACTATACAAAACAATATTTTAGCCCATTTTGTGATAAATACATTAACTATTCAGAGTGGCTTTCCATTTTCCATTATCGAAGAAGTGGATTGCTGTAGCTCCTGACAAAATATTTCTCAAGGGAATTCCAAGGTAAATAATGCATCAAAAAGGAAGATCATGAGTCAAGCTAGAAATCAGAGCAAAGTTTCAGACCTGCTTGGAATTGCCACAGGGAAATACTATGAAGCAGCACTAAAATTCAAGACAAATCTATGCAAAATGTTCAGTAAAAAACATTCTTCAGTGAAGCCAAAGGTTTGAAGCTGTCAAATGACTTATTAACTTGTTTTCTTAGTCATGCAGCACCTGGGAAGGACATTAGCGTTAATGTTTATTTTATGGGATTATAGCAAGGAGGAATGGAAATGTTGGAGGAAGGAAAACAAACTAAATTACTTTGTAGAGAGAAATACTGTAGTTGAAAATAGAGTATGAGGAACACGCTAATTAGAAACATTGATAAAACCTAAATTATTAAATGAGCTAAGAGAAGACCAAGATAAAAGGAACTGAGTGTGAGAATGCTTGTTTCTTTCCATTAGAGTTTTGTAAGAGTGAGCTCCAATTTTATGTAGGCACTCTCGAGTACAGTGGTTAATCACATTAGTGCAGTAAGAAATTTGACTCAGTAGTGCAAACTAAGCCATACAGTTAATTATTCATTGTATGTTTTTATTTGGCCTTGGAATGTGTTTTTTATACTTATCTCTCTGGGGCTTTATTTGATAGTCTGGGAACTTATTTCAAACACTGTGAAGATCTGACTCAGGAAGTGCTGGGAAGCAGTCCAGTGTGTTTATCCTGACCCCTGTTCAACTTTTTCCTGCAGCCCAGCCCGGGCTGGGAATAGACAACTCTCCTCTGTGGCTGAGGCTAACCAGACTATGCAGAACTTTCTCCTCTCCAACAGTCTCTGGAAATGGGGTAGTTGTCAAGTGCTTGGGTTTCTAAGGGCGCCTTGAAAAAGAGAAAGCTATGGCCCTGGCCAGTGTGGCACAATGGTTAGAGCATTGGCCCACACACCTAAAGGTTGTGGGTTCAATTCCTGGTTAAGGGCACGTACCTGGATTGCAGGTTCGATCCCTGGCCCTGGTTAGTGTACATGCGGGAGGCAGCAAATCGATGTATCTCTCTCACATCCATGTTTTTTTCTCTCTCTCTTCCCTCCCTCCATCCCTCTCTTCTACTTTCTCTAAAAAATCAATGGAAAAAATATCCTCAGATGAAGATTAACCAAAAAAAAAGAAAAAGAGAAAGCTATGTAGACAGAATAAGTAGGTGGCCTGTTAGTCAAGCAAATAAGTAAGTAGAAAAATGTGATTAAACTTATTTTTTTTATTTTTCAATTACAGTTGACATTCAATATTATTTTGTTAGTTTCAGTTGTACAGCATAGTGGTTAGACATTTATAAAATTTATGAAGTAATCCCCCCAATAATTCCAGTACTCACCTGGTATTATATATAGTTATTATTGACTGTATTCCCTATCCTGTACTTTATATCCTTGAGACTATTTTATAACTACCAATTTGTACTTCTTAATCCCCTTGCCTTTTTCACCCAGCTCCACAACCCCCAGAATGTTATTAAACTTAAAATGAAGTTTGCAGGGAATCCAGATAATCATCCACTGATGGATAATGGAAATTTATTAAATGAGAATATAACTGTAATTATATTAATCATGTTTAATATGAAACTAGTTCATTCTGATTTTTATTGTAATGAGACAGCACTTTGAAATTCAAAAAAACAAACAAAACTTTTGAATGACTTTGAAGCCCAGAATCATGCCAGATGTGTTCCTTTGAATGTTTACTATCAAAGGTGGTTTGTTTTTGTTTGTTTTTTCTTTGGATACCAATTCTGTTTGTGGTTATGCGTTTTAAAACCACTAAAGGACCTACTATTTAAATGAACTCTGAGTCATTTTGTTAACATAATTACCTCCTGATTGGGGAGGGGGGGCTGTCATCTTGTTAGTGGTCTGAATTTTTTTAATGTATTTTTTTAAGCAGTAGGTATCTGCAGGCTCACGTGTTATTTTAAATCTTTTTATGAACACTTTAAAAATACCATTAAGCCGTGTTCTTTTTCCATATATAAAATGATTTTAAGTTTCTCTCTTCTAGCTTAATTTAGCTGTCATCGCTCAATAGAAAATACACAGTTGCCTAACTATGGACTGGAGAAAGTCTTAACAGAGTCTTACACCAGTGTATTCTGATCTTCAGTTAACATTAAAAATCAACATTGACTGTTGGGATGCTTAATATTAAAAAACTGGATTTCCTGAACATTCATGTTAGATTATTAACGTGTATTTGGGTTCTGATCATTGTTCCTGATTTTCTTCCCTGCTCTAGTTGAATGGATCGCAGCAGTTACCGTTGCTGCTGGGACAGCTGCAATTGGTTATCTAGCTTACAAAAGATTTTATGCTAAAGATCATCGCAACAAAGCTATGGTTAACCTTCACATTCAGAAAGATAACCCCAAGGTCGTACATGCTTTTGACATGGAGGATTTGGGAGATAAAGCTGTGTACTGCCGTTGTTGGAGGTCCAAAAAGGTGAGGAAAACAAGTCCTTTATATTAGTAGCATCTTTAATGTAATATTTCTTTATAAACTAGTCTATCAAACAGGTATCACCAGATCCTGTTAAGATATGCCTTTTTTTTAATTCTTTTTTTTAATGGATCCTGTCTTCTGTTTTCCTTATACTCCTTAGGAATATAGTTACTAAAATGTATAACCTCTATACAGTAAAATTATATCATATCCTCATCGAGTTCAGGTGAATGTACCATATCCTTAGTCAAAGAAGAGAGAGAAATTTCTTTATTTACTCTTAAGATTTCCTCCCTAAGTGGATCTTAGCTCTACTATCCCACAAAAGGAAGCATGCAGCCTAAACAGGGAAACAGAAGAGGTAAATTCCTTTATTGAGCATTCAAACTCTGGATTATAGGACCACTTTTAGAAATTTCAAGAGAAAGTTTTGGAAAATTAGCCTTGAAGATTTTTTATCTGTTAAACATATTGACCTTGTATCCTAAGCTTTCTTTAAGCTGCAGCTCCTATAGTTAAATATCTAACATTGGATTTTTTAAAATCTTATTTTCTTTTGTGAGAATTGCATTTCATCAGTTTCCATTTGGAAGTGTCATCTGTGATACCTGCAGCTTTTAGAAAGTGATGACAGCTACTGATCTAAAGATGGTAAAATGCTCTTGTAAGTTCATCTTGAAAAGCTTCGTACACTGAATGACTGCAGAATTTCTGATGTGGTGAAAATACTGTATGTATTGCCACTGTTAGCATTTAAACAAAATGGATTTCACTAAAGATGACTCTATAAGGCCTCAGAAAATAGATAGTAAAAATGATATATCTATTTCTGAAACCACATTATGTGAAGGACCTCTTCCTGTACTGGAGAGCCATTATCACAAATCAGCGTATCACACACTAGGCACTGGGAAGCATATTATACTAACCCCCTTCTCCCAGCACAGTTGACGTTGTATAATTCAGTGATATAGTGCTTACATTATGTCATTGTGTCTAAACAATGCTTGATGAACATATGGAATATGAACCAAAAATTAATAGTGCCATTACAGCAAGTTGTATTGTGAGAAGAACACTGTTTATTTGGAATGTGGGACTGTTCAGAAGTACTAGTGGGGTTGCTAGAAAATGATCCTCAATAATATTCTATAGACTAGATCTAGTTTGTTTTTTAAAATTATGCCTATAATAGGTTTCATTCTCTTGTTGTTCACCAAAATATAGACAGTAATACCCTTAGAAACTAAGGAATTTCTAAGTCAAAGTTGTAATAGTTAATAATTTATTTTAAATAGTTAATTTAATGTCTTCTATATATATATGCATGCATGATAAAAGTTAGGTAGTAAGATAGAAGGTATCATAGATGTGTACAGTGGATACAGTACAAGGGCTTTAAATAAAAAGGAGAGTTTACACTGTGGGCTAGAATTTTCTGGGAAGGCATAGTGATGCATATGGGAGTTAAATTGTCCCAGAAATATTAGTGGCATTTGAATAAACTAGTAAGTATTGGAGACTTTCTCAAAATCTGCTGGAAAGGACTCACACGAGCAAAGATGGGACCAATGAAGAATCTAGTCTGATCCTTGCACCTGTCTCTCCCACC